TTTTAGTTCAAAACTATTAAAATTTATTTTCTATTTTTTTGTTGGATTTTCTATAAAAGCGTATTTTGTTAGTTTTTTTAAACTATTATTTATTTTGTTTTGTTTTGGCTGACATTTCGTATTTTGTTCGTCGTAAATCAGTCGGCACCCCGAGTCGGTATCCGAAGTGACTTGCAACATCGGCTCGAGTCATCGTTCTAAATGGCGCTTTGACGGCCTCTGATGGGCCTGCTCGTACTTCCGATTTGTCGCTATTTCAGAGGCAGCTAAAAAGATTTGTAAATGACAAGGCTTTTTGGGAAAACCTCGCTTAGGAGTGGCTTACAAAATCATGAATTTCAACTTATCATAAACTTGCGTTAAATTAATGATTATACATATACATTTCATAATTAGAAATACAGAATATAAATAAACAATATAGATAAATAATTTTAGATCTAGAATTTAAAAAAGTATCTAAACAAATTGAGGAAAAACAAAATAGCTATCTATCTCTTCAATCTCTCTTTGTTAATTGATTTTCTTTTTTGTTTAGTAGCGTTTGGCGAATTATAAATTTATCTTTAAGTTATTAGTAAGCTTGTTTTCAATAAAAACGATTTGGAGACAGATCCGTTTTCAAAATTTCAATAAAGAATAAAAAACAAAATATAGAAAAATGTTAGTTCTTTTAGATTAACTCGGCGGTGCAGTGCAGTAGTTACCGCTCTTAACTGCTGGGGGTCATGGGTTCACTTCCCGCATCGAGCAAGTTTTATTGCTCTTTTTCTGGATGTTTCATATCTAAATATGTATGTATAGAGTTTTTCAATAGGGACGCGTGAACTTTGACAGCTCATAGCGGCCATCTTGGTAAAGCGATAGCTGTCAAATTTGACATAAACACATATTTAGTCGTGACATATCTTGAAACGCTACACGCTAGTCCGGCGGTATCATCGGCCATTATTTCTTCGAATATCCGCAAGGACTCGCGATCACCGTCAATGGCGACCGACGATAACAAACTTTTTGTGGCCTAGGATAGATGATATGGATCTCACAAACATGTGGTGCTAACAGGATGGCGCCATACACGACGGGAAACATTAAATTTCCTGAATAAGAAATTCAAAGGCTTCGTCATTTTTCGTGATGGCGACATCAACTGGCCACCGAGATCGTCTGACTTAATACCGCTCAACTACTTTTCTGTGGGGCTAAGTGAAATCTCTAGACTATGCAGACAAACCACAGTCTATGGCCGCCCTCGAGGCCAACATAACTCGCTCTTCGTGAAATTGAGCCCCATTTATGCGAAGATGTCATACAGAATTGGTCCACCAGGACGACGCCTACAACGAAGTCACGGCGGCCATTTGGCTGAAATTATATTCCATACATCATGTCATCGAATAACCTTTTGAAATTAAATAAAAATTGTGGCAACATCATTTAAACAGGTTTTATTTTATTTTATTTCGAGCACTCTTAATTAAAAACTCTTTATATATATATAGGTATATATATATATATATAGGCGTACTTAAGTATGCACATCAGTCTCCCTCGTGTCCTCAAGCAACTTCGCGTAGAAACGAGACTGTCTACGATTTGCTACCAAAAGGTTCTTGGTTACTTTGGTCACATTGCTCGGCGGCCACCAGACAACCTTGAAAAAGTGGCCTTAGTGGGCAAGGTAAAAGGAAGAAGACCCCCCGGCCGACCGCCAAGCCGTTGATCAGATCAGGTAACCGCACTCACCGGACTCTCTGTTACGACCGCCCTGAGAGAAGCCGAAAACCGGAATGAAATGGTGCAAAGAGCTACGAAGGCCTTTCAAAGACACGACCTCCAGCAATGAAGTATACGTCTAAGAAGAAGAAGAAGAAAACAAGAATCACTCTTGGCTCTCACTGTTTCTACATCTCATTTTTGTTCTATGAGCCCGCAATTAGTCTCTCAGCCAAGAACTCTCGAGCGCGGCCAATTAAGTGTGCTTTAGCTGTTATTAATAACGACCTCCCCATATTCGAGCACAGTGTAGTTAACAGTTATAACTTTATCATATTAAAACATTAACAAAGGCGACGAATGCCGTTAGGGTCGGCCCTTTGTTTCAATATGAATGTAGTTCAAGAATTACGAGTGTAATTTGCATAACAACTATGGAAAGTTTTCAAGAGGGACCATTTTTATGAGTACTTTTATTGTTGCGTTTTATTTTTTATTTTTTTATTTTAGGATCGTCCGTTACGGATATTTTCGAATTCTATTGATTTATTTTTACTAGTGGTCCCGCGGCAGTCGAAATTCGACTATAATTAAACACTAACAACATTCTATTGTCAGAGACTATTATACTTCTATAATCACAGATTTCGGCAAGACTATACTATAGACAAATATGAGAATCTATTCTCAATTTGACCACATGACTATAAGCAATAAGAAAAGTTTGACAATAAACAAATAGTATGCATGCGCGTGTGTGTCAAATACACGGTAGTGTGTGTAATTTTTTTATTTTATTGATTTAATGTATATTCTATGCATAATTTTAAAAAATATTAACATTCTGCTCTCCTCTATATTCTCTATAAATGTGGGAAATTTCATACTTCTCCGTCCGCGCAATTTTCGTAAAAAGGAGTACAAAGTGTATGCTTCACGTATTTATATATAGATTCTGATACAGTTCGAAGACTGACAGATTGTGCGAGTGGACCAAAATAGCGCGAGTATAGTTGGATATATTTGTTATCGCACAGTCTAGGATACCGCACCGTCCGGCCCGCTATCCGCCATCCGATATCAACAACTAGGCACAATAACGTAAATGTACCTACGCCAATTCTTGCCGTAACTACCACCTCCCCACCTATTTCTGCCGTGAAGCAGTAATGCGTTTCGGTCTGAAGGGTGGGGCAGCCGTTGTAACTATACTGAGACCTTAGAACTTATATCTCAAGGTAGGTGGTGGCATTTACGTTGTAGATGTCTATGGGCTCCGGTAACCGCTTAACACCAGGTGGACCGTTTTTTTTTTCTACCTTTGCTGATAGCCTTGAGAGGCTATTTCAGCTTCACCCTAACGTGTGTAGGTGAGCTCACGGGGCTCAAACCGGAGCGTTGCTAACATTGACCCTAGCAAGAGTAGTGCTTCGCAGAATCTACCACCGGATCGGAAACGCGACCCACTGAGAAGATCCGGCGAGAAACTCAGTGGGCTGTGTCTATAGGTTAATTCGCTCGTCGAGCCCTTTGTCGCAAGCGACGGGTTCGACGAGGACGGTGACCGGTGCTTGTGGTGCCTAAAAGCACCGTTAATGGATCGGGAGGATCCGTAATGACGTGCTTTGGGCGACGGCGACCGTTTACCATTCGGTCTACAGGATCGGGTATGTAGTTTCCAGCGGCCACGACAAGAGGGTTCTCATGTGCCGCCTTCTCGAAATGGCGCAATGATGCATTAGTGAACTCGTCCACCCACCTATCCAAAAAAAAAACCCGAGAATTAATACATATACGTTTATTTTATAGAACAATATCCGTAATAGGTTTTAGGATGTACATTAATTCGCATTACGAGATATAATAAGGTTTTTCGCATGTCACCTAAATACCGCAGGTGAATGCGATATAATCTTACACGACAGACCGTTCTGGAAGAGCACAGCTTTGACAGTAAAACTAATCGTAAGATAAATTAAGCCATGTTCACAAATGAAAGTACTGACAAGCATGAAGAAATTATAGCTCACATTATTAACTCGCCATGTTATAGAAGACTTAAATAACAGCCTCGTCATTCACTTCTGCACTATCTCGTATCAACGACATGCAAATGGGAACCTGCCAGCCGAAGCATTCGGGGCATCCAGGAGTGAAGGCCACGCGACAGGCCATATCTATGTTAATTTACTTGCACCCGACTACCGGCTTATTAAAGTCAATTGCTATGCAATCTATGCAACGTATCTCGGGTTTTTCGGTTTACACTGTTGTCGGCAACGTTGCCATGGCAACGGTTATCTTTCACCGTATCCGACGTCGCGAGAGGTCAATTATATTTCAATCTCAGAAACCTGCAAAATGTTTGATGAACTCATTTTAAAATTTCGTCCGACAATTAATTTTATTAACTCGTGATATGTATATGGGATAGATTGTAGAGATATTTCAAGCATGTAGGTACTTCCATTATTCAGTTTAAATTAATGTTAATTCATATATGTACTTGTAACACCCCACCGTTGCCTGTAACAGCACTTTTTTTCCTATCTATGCTGATAGCCTTGTGAGGCTATTTCAGCTTCTCCTTGACGAGTAGGTGAGCACACGGGGCTCAAACCGGGAGTGTTGCTAGCACTGGCCCTAACAAGAGCAATGCTTCGCAGAATCTACCACCGGATCGGAAACGCGACTCACTCAGAAGATCCGGCGAGAAACTCAGTGGGCCAGCTTGTTACTAACGACAAATATAATAAAATACCCGACAGGGTTTCACTGCTTAGAAAAAGAACAACTTATTTATTGTTCTAAACTAAACTGTAGCTCCATTTTTTATGTGGTCATCCGTAATGATTCTATTACTGTTTCAGAGGTGCTACATATTAACACATAAACGTGTAATTGGTTTTCACACGATAGAAAAATGTGTGTGTCGAGAGACCCCAAGTTACCGTGCAATGTCAAAATCTTTACTCAAATTATTACAAGAAGATTGTTATTTTTTTCATCGCAAAGTTAACATAGAGGGAGCAAGAGAGAGAGAGCGAGAGAGAGAATATACTTTATTTCATACCAAATCACACTTAACATTTTTAAAAAACATACTTAGTGTTTTAATGTTTAGTGGTAACCGATTACTCTTCGATTCACTTTTAAAATCGGAACGTTTTACTACTTCGCGGCAGAAATGGTATAGTACGTCTGGGTTCGACGATAACCAGAGTCGGCTCCCAAGGCGCCCTAACACCAGTAAACAATATCAACTTGTTCTTTTTTTGTTTTAGATCCATATCAGATGTTTGGACCTACGAGCAGCCGGCTAGCTAATTCAGGTCAGTGTACTAATGTTCATACTTTGAGACTGATTGTGGGTGTGATTCCCACGACGGGGCAAGAGTTCGTGTGGCAAACATATTTGTTTGCTTTTCGTTTGAGTATTGCATATTTATATTTAAAGTTAAACATGTATGTATTGTATTTTATGTACGTATGTAGGCTAAAAGAAAGATAAATAGATATGTAGGTATATTCTGTGGTGCCAATAACATATTTCCTAATCTGATTCAGATAACCGTGGTCGATTTGTTCCCAATCATTTATGTGTTTCATGCGAGTAGTTGTTATATGTGATGCCAATAACGTATTGTGTCTTGATTTGATTCAGATACTCGTGGTTGATTTGATCCCAATTATTTATGTTTTTCATGTGTGTTTTAGTATCTAATTCATTAATTACAATTATACATATATCCTATGGCAAACCTCTTTGAAAATATTTCAAAAATAATATATTTTGAGCTTTTAGTGTTTAAACTCTTAACAGATTTGTGCGTTGTAGTTTTATTACAAAACTCCCATTATCATCAGTCAAATACTAAATAATCTGAAATAAAAGCTGCGATCGCCCATAAACAATACCAATTACTGATATTGTATTTGTTGATAATTATATTATTTTGATGTCAATTCAGTTTATTCTTTGATCGAGTGTCTTAAATCATTTCTAAGAGGCGTATTATATATAAAAGACGTATTATAGGCATTTCTAAGAGGCGTATTATATAGAAAAGACGCCTCTTATAGTACAGGGAATTTTAATTTGGAACCAGATGATGTCTTGTCGCTGGCTATTATTTTAAAATTCATTTAAATCTTGAAGTACCGGTGATTTTGTCGAATCATCGTTAGATTATTAGATGAACAATAGATATGAATACGGGAGGTATCAACAACTCAAGTTATTATTTAATTAATATACCTACTTAAAAACCGGTTCACACATCATATGTTTTATCTGTGATAAATACCAATACGTAAAGATACTTTGTGTTTAGGTGTTGGCGTTAAAAGCTTACTTCAAGTACTATTAGAAGGGATAAAAGTTCCTCGTTTACCCTCAACAGCTTTATGAATAAAGCGGTTAGACTTTAAGCCTTACCACCGAACTTTTGCAAATATGCGATGTCACGGAGAAACTATTATTAAAATCATTAAAGATTAATTTAAATCACTCAAACTTTGAACACTTGATTGCTTATCTGTATACGTGAATCAGTGGGCGGTTTATCGTGATATATCCGTACCGTGACTGCACTCGACATTACCCTGCCTATTAACATTTTGACTCAGAGGGTCGATTAAACAGATAATACTGTATAGACTGCTACAACAAACAGTTTTGATACCTTGAGAAACGCGTTCTTTTTAGCCGACTACGGATTAGATTGGATTAGATTTTCTGAAATCTCTGAATGTATGTACTATACGGATACTTACAAGCGCTTCGTCCGATTATTAATTAACTTGACTCAGTTAAAATAGGCTACATAAAAATTTTCGGTATATATTATTTATTTAAAAAAAAACATAGAAATTTATCCTTTTGTTTGCAAAGAAATAATAAACTACTTACAAACTGAAATCGTATAAAAGCATATATTTTTTTAACTATTTACACAAACACAAACAGGTCGTAACGATACATTACCTTTTGGAGTATTTCCTGACGCCCGGAGCTGGTTAGAAGATCAGGGAAACAGGTGTACTGAAAAAAAAAATCGATATAAAAAACGAAAACAATGAATATAATATATATATATTTTAAGGACTGCTAATCAATAACATAAAGTATTGTTCAAGCAGATAATAAAACAACACCCTCTATATACAATATCTTGACGTGGTCGTGTGGCGCGGTATGACGTCATACAGAATACGTTAAACGTAAATTGCGTCACGACCTTGCACGTGACTTTATTAGCAACATCTATTTTTTTGCCTATTTATTCTAATGACCTCGAGGGGTCATACTAGATTCACCGAACGAGTAGGTGAGCTCACGGGGCTCTATCCTGATGACGTTGTTAGCTCTGGCCTTAGCAAGAGCAGTGCGCAGAATATACCACCGGATCGGAAACGCGACACACTGAGAAGATCCGGCGAGAAACTCCGTGGACTGTGTCTATGGGTTGATTTACTCGACGAACCCTTCGTCGCATCTCTAGTAATATGGCAACAAGATACATTTCATTTAGATGAAAATAATCTTTGAGTTATATAATTACTAATACATAATTTACACACAAATTGTTCGTTGATTTTTATTGTTTATGTTTTTACTGCCGAAAAATATGTTATCAAATTGTTGATGTCGTTAAATGATTTTTTTGTTTCAATAACATAATTTCAGATCTAAATCGAAATGTTCCAGTTTTTTTTTTTTATTGCTTAGATGGATGGACGAGCTCACAGCCCAGCTGGTGTTGAGTGGTTACTGGAGCCCATAGACATCCACAACGTAAATGCGCCACCCACCTTGAGATACAAGTTCTAAGGTCTCAAGTATAGTTACAACGGCTGCCCCACCCTTCAAACCGAAACGCATTACTGCTTCACGGCAGAAATAGGCAGGGTGGTGGTACCCACCCGCGCGGACTCACAAGAGGTCCTACCACCAGTGAGAATACAATCGATGCTACAACACAGCAAGCATACATTTGTCACAATTATCGCCATTTTAATAGTCAATAGTAATAGATAAACATTCAACATCCCCAAACACGTATAATCTCTTGGACTATGGGCATCAGTAACAAACGTACGATAAAATATATGTAGTTTAAGAACAAACACGCGTAAATAGCAAACCGAACTAGCAATCTAGTTGATCTTTATTTATTCTTTTATTCTTCTGACAGAGGTCAGGATATTAGAGCGAACATACCTACATATAATATTATTGTTTTGCCATCGGTCCTTGATGCGTCCGCAAATTATCAAATTAATAGGACGTCTTGAAGCCGGTGCAAATGACATTATAGATTCAGTTACATATAAACAAACAAACATACATACAAAGAAAGCTAATAGAAGTGTTTCAAGAACAATTATCCCACGAGATTCTGAATGCAAATGATAATTTTAAAATAATAAAAACATTGTTTGCATGTCTATTATTTACAAATACCGGACATATTCATTCGATTATGATTGTGGTTCTTTGCGTTTCAGTGTAGGTTTCAGTGATAGTACCGTCAACGTATAATAGGTGGCGCGCGAGTAGCCATTAACGAGTCACAAGAAAACGTGACTCGTGTGCTGAGTGAGAGTTTTTTAACGTTCTCGATCGCGTAAAAGTTAACTCAAATTTGTATGCAGTTGGAACAGAGTTATGTTTCATTAATCAATCGGTGGAAGCTGAGCTATTTAAATCATTAAAATCTATTTATGAATACGTGAAGCAAAAATTTTGTATCCCTTTTAACGAAAATTGCGTGGACGGAGGAGTATGAAATTTTCCACACTTATAGAGAATAAAATGCACAATGCTAATATTGTTTTAAAATAATGTATAAAATATACATTAAATTTATAAAGAAAACATTACACACACTACATACCATGTGTTTGACGCACACATGCATGCATACTATTTATTGTCAAACTTTTGTTCTTGACGTCTGTTGTCAAATTGAGAATAGATTAAATATTGTTTGTTTTTGTTAATATTTTTTATATTGTAGTCTTGGCGAAATTTGTAATTATAGAAGTATAAAATACAGTCATAATAGTGTACAAACTTACGATTCCAATTAATTATAGTCGAATTTCGACTACTGCGGGACCTCTAGTTATTAAAAATACACATAATAAAATCAATGGCGGATCCAGGGGGGGGGGTCATGGGTGTCATGACCACCCCCTGAGCTGGTTCCAGGATTTAGGTGGACCACTAATTGAATATAATGATTTTATTTATATATTTTGTCACCATACAGATTTTATGTAAATACATACCTTCAATGTTTAATTAATTTAATATAATATAATAACTTTGTATAATGGCAAACGTCTGGGAACGAACGCATCTAAATTTGACTATATGACCCCCTCCTGGCGCCAAAGCTGGATCCGCCCTTGAATAAAATATGATAAAAATAAAAATGACTAAACCAAAACCCAGACTATAATGATTACGCATAATTTCCTTTGTACACCTTTCGAATCACGGCATGTAATTTCATGCCAATAAATCTTAGTGGAAACAATTATTGGCACGTGGCAGACCTGGCCCCTAATTACACAGAGCCGTTCACACGGTTTTGACTTACTGGACTTTTATATTGCACTGTAATCATGATTGAGGTGTGCCCTCACCTCGAACGCATTAGAAGGGAGAATAGTTTTAGCTTAGCTTAATAAAAATACTTAAAAAAAATAGTTACAAAGTTGTTTTCTCGGCAGAATCATTTAGCGTTTTCTAAAGAATGAATTTAAAGTCATATGGAAAATCAAACGAAATCGATTGAATAATTTTCAAAATTTCAAAAATGTCGAGTATTTTAATTGAATTAGTAATCAAAACACCGTAGCTATTAATAAATATTACTTGATAGAGGACCAGGAAAAAAATAAAACGGCAGCGATCGTTTACGTATTATCCTCCCGTGTCTTTCATTCATACCAAACTATAGAAATAGGCATCTGAAGATAAATAACAAGGCAATGAAAAAGCTAAGTTAATTAAATTAAAATGCATTATCGGACAGTGATAATTATTTGTGAAATACTATTTTCATTTTATTTTATTTATTACCCAACAAAATATTCGAAATATATACAATTCACAATAAGCTATACACGTCAAAATGCGTGACGCGGGTCTAATCTAACGGGTTGTGTATTTGTGTGATCTACGGTTAAGCTTGTCATACATTTTAACCCCAAATGACGTCACGCGTACAAAAGTATTGTACGACCAAACGCCATTTTGGACACGAACAAAGATGAGTTAGGTACTACCTCAATCCATAGTTCCTCAATACTTGTTTTAAATAGACGGATACCTAAAGACAATTTTAGCGCTTGTGATGATAATATAATACATACACTGTCATTATGAATAACATTTTTGTATGAAAGGCCGGACGAAACGTACTAGTTATTGGGAGTTAATGGGAGTTAATGGAAAATACTTACAAAGATAAAGATAAAACAAAAAAACAGTGCGTATATACATCGGTTTGGATCCTTTTTTTTTTATTGCTTTGATGGATGGACGAGCTCACAGCCCACCTGGAGTTAAGTGGTTACTGGAGCCCATAGACATCTACGACGTAAATGTGCCACCCACCTTGAGATATAAGTTCTAAGGTCTCAGTATAGTTACGTCGGCTGCCCCACCCTTCAAACCAAAACGCATTACTGCTTCACGGTAGAAATAGGCAGGGTGGTGGAACCTACCCGCGCGGACTCACAAGAAGTCCTACCACCAGTAATTACGCAAATAATAATTTTGCGGGTTTGATTTTTATTACAAGATGTTATTCCTTCACCGTGGAAGTCAATCGTGAACTTTTATTGTGAAGTACATATTTCATTAGAAAAATTGGTACCCGCCTGTGGGATTCGAACACTGGTGCATCGCTCGATACGAATGCACCGGACGTCTTATCCTTTAGGCCACGACGACTACTAAATCTCCATCCGATAACGCATTTTAGTGTCATCTACTTCCTCGTAATATTCCGTTTCAACAAATCTAACGTCTAAGCTCTCGAATTCCGCATTGAATTAAATTATTAAAATCAGCTTTCCATAACACAAGGCAAGCTAATATCGCTTCCCCGCCGAACATAAATTCGTGTTTCAGTACAACTATATTAGTTAAACATTCAAAGCCGGACGTATCTGCAATAAAGCGTCTATCTAACGTAGTTTCCTTGTTTACGGAACAAAGTTAAAGTTTAGATCTTTGCATTAATGCGAAACTCGGAATCCTTCATGAACTAGTAAAAGATTGCGTGCCAATCTTTTGAGCTTTTTTTTTATTGCTTAGATGGGTGGACGAGCTCACAGCCCACCTGGTGTTAAGTGGTTACTGGAGTCCATACACATCCACAACGTAAATGCGCCACCCACCTTGATATATAAGTTCTAAGCTCTCAAGTATAGTTACAACGGCTGCCCCACCCTTCAAACCGAAACGTATTACAGCTTCACGGCAGAAATAGGCAGGTTGGTGGTACCCACCATAATAAAATATATGATAATAAAAGGCCTAAAGTTTTGTATAAAATAAACTTAAAACAAACAAAAGGAATCCGTCCGACGGGGGTCACATCAAAGGAAAAACAAAATTGTTATATTTTATTTTATTCCGAGCATTTTCATATTTATCTACCTTTTAAGCCTTCTCTGGACTTTCACGAATAATTCAAGACCAAAATTAGCCGAATTGGTCCTGCCGTTCTCGAGTTTTAGCGAACAGCAATTCATTTTTATATACATACTAGCTGACCCGGCAGACTTTGTAGTGCCTCAATCGATAAATAAAGGACCTAAACTTTTGTATAAAATAAACTTAACACAAACAAAAGGAATCCGTCCGACGGGGGACACATCAAAGGAAAAACAAAATTGTTATTTTTATTTAACTCCAAACATTTTCATATTTATCTACCTTTTAAACCTTGTCTGGACTTCCACAAATAGTTCAAGACCAAAATTAGCCAAATCAGTCCTGCCGTTTTCGTGTTTTAGCGAACAGCAATTCATTTTTATATACATATATAGATTTAAGTCAATATAAACTTAGCTATTATTTACTAAGCCAAAATCATTTAATTTACACCAAGCTGCGAGAACATGTTCTGCCTTAATATCAAAAAATTAAGTCTGGTCTATAAGAGTCTCAATAAAATACAATAACGCATCCGTAAAGCTTGGTTCACAATATTTTCGCGATCAAAGTATTAATTGCACGTCGTTAAATCGATGAGCCGTGCTGTACACAATGGACCGAATGAGCCGAGATGCGGAACGCGCAAGTTGCGAGTGTTGTGACATGATCGTCCGGCATTCGGATAAATCATGGGATGCGCTCGTGTGATCTTGCCTTCGGACTAAGTATGGTACGCAAAACAATATCCAAAGTATTTTAATTTAATTTATTGTCCTGCAATATTAAATGCATTCTCGGTAATCGATTCATTCGTAATTTGTAACGCATATATGTATTTATTTAAATTGTGTTTGTTTTTTTTTAAACATTATTTTGTGATTTTTTACGATTTATTTGGACCTACGAGTGGCGTTAACAAAACATGTTTTGAAGTTCGAAGTATGGAATAACAGCTATTTTTAATGCGCTTATAAAAACTATTCCTTATAAAATACTCTACTCTACAAAAGCGATCCAGTAAACATATATTTTTAGGTATCCTTTTTTGCGGACCATACTCGCTGCGTTCCACACGAGTGCGCCCGAGCGGTGCAGTCGTGCGAGTTTCTAACATGCCCGCGTAATATCGCAGCGTGTTTTCCACGCTAGGGACCCGACCCCTGCGCTCCCTTAGTGCGGCGATGTTCTCTCACTTACTGATAAAAAGGGCTACTGTATTAAATAAGATACTGTTAATCGCTTTCTTGAATGTCCCATTGAATCGCTTAGAAATTTATGAAGACTAGCTGACCCGGCAGACTTCGTAGTGTCTCAATCGATAGATAAAATACCTAAACTTTTGTATAAAATAAACTTAAAACAAACAAAAGGAATCCGGAAAACAAAATTGTTATTTTTATTTAATTCCGAGGATTTTCATATTTACCTACCTTTTAAACCTTCTCTGGAATTCCACAAATAATTCAAGACCAAAATTAGCCAAATCGGTCCAGCCGTTCTCGAGTTTTAGCGAGACTAACGAACAGCAATTTATTTTTATATATGTATATAGATAGATGAGTCGTCTATTATCAAAGGTGGCAATCTGTGCATTTGGACAAAAAAATGTTATTGATATGTCAATACAGATTGATTTGAATATAATCGTCTCCTTCAAAGAATACGGTTCAAAACCTGCATTAAATAAAGGTTAATACTTAACCTGTTATTTATCTAAGATGTCGTTCAGAAGAGTTTTGTGACTGCCAATGGAATACAAAGTCAATAATTCGTTTTTCTGATTTATCAATAATTGTCCAAAAGTCACATTGCCGGCTTTGATAATAGTCGACTCAGATAGATGACATAAATTGTGTAATTTAAAAGGTTAGTGACAGAAATTCAACCGTCTTTTTTTTATTTTTTATAAAATTGTTATTAACACAACAGGATCGGGACAAATCCAGCTGTGGCAATTTCTGCTAGAGCTCTTGAGTGACTCCAGCAATGCGGGCTGCATCACATGGGAAGGCACTAATGGGGAGTTCAAGCTGACTGATCCGGACGAGGTGGCAAGGCGGTGGGGCGAACGCAAGTCCAAACCAAACATGAACTATGACAAGCTAAGCAGGGCATTGAGGTAAATGACCTCAGCAATTCCGCTGGATCGGCCTCAACACACGCTGCACCTTTCTAAGACGCGCGGAATGTGAAACGTGTAGCGGTGTTGAGACATTGCAATGTGCGTCTTTGACGCGGCGATTTTTCGGGTACCCGTTTTTTTTTTTGTATTTGGCTTTGCGATTTTTCTGTGATGTCTGTGCGAGCTGGCTGTAAACATTATTCAGTTTTATATATGAACAAGATATGCCCAGACGCTGTTTGTAAGAATAACTTCGCATACATGGAGCGTCTGATAAAAAAACCGCCAAAAAAACAATGTTACCAAATTAAACTAACATTTTCGTAATTCACACAGATACTACTACGATAAAAATATAATGACGAAAGTCCACGGCAAGAGGTATGCCTACAAATTCGATTTCCAAGGGCTGGCTGCGGCCACCCAACCAGCCGCTAGCGACCCGGCTTACAAATACCAGAGCGACCTATTCATGAGCTCGTACCATCACTCGGCTAAGCTCTCATCCTTCATGGCTCCACACGCGGCCATGCCTACGTCCACAGGTAAACTCAGATTTTTATTTTCATTGCCATACTAAATTAGGCCACTGCGAAATTCTTCAAATGTGATTTCCAAACTTGACAAATCTTTTTTTTTAGTCTATTGCATATTACAATTAAGTACAAAAAAAAGGACCAGAAAAAATCTGTTATAGATTCCAAGGAAGCTGGTTTTAAACGCGTATTTAAAAATCGATTCCATAATAGACGACGAGACAGGTGGTTTAGATTTTAATAAAATGCGCCCTTCAGTCGCAGTGTATGCTGGCCCGCTGTAATCTGTATCTCGAGGCTAATGCTTCGGTACACTTGCTTACACAAATATTTGCGAGACGCTCCAAACGGGTTGTCGCTGCCACCGGCACGATCACACTTGACTTAATGGCGTACAAGTACACTATTTAAATTGCAGAGAGTTGCGATTCTTATTTCGAATGTAGAGCTACATCACGACGTGTAAAATCTAACGGTTTTTTTTTCTTTTTTTTTATGAAACCTCTTTATGAAATACAGTTACGATCAGTTAAATTTTATTTTCATAAATATCACTTTGGTATGGACCATTGAATATTTAATCTATGGTATTTTGGAAACCACATTTGTGATTTATATTCGGAGCAAATGCGAAAGCCGTCTTATAAATACACAAGTAGGTATAGTTTTTGAAACGTTTATGGTACATAGTTTAATTGTAAAAAAAAACCTTCGTGATAAACTATTTTTGTGGCGCTTGCAACCAATTTAACTTGTTCTAAGCCTTAGAACAGGTTAAATTAGGACGTAAGATATAATAATAACGTGCCTATAAAAACCTATTGGATCAGCCAAACGACTTTACATTAGCCGTAAAGAATGAACCTTTGACAGTGACAATATTATGCAAGCATTTAAAATAACAACTAGGTTAGTAGGTATGCGCGTACTGCAGTTGCTAAACGATTGTATTGTGCACCTTTCTAATGACTGAGGTTAGAATATCATTGTTTCAGCATCGATATTTCCGTCAGCATCGTGGGGAAACTGGGGGGGCGGGGGCAGCAACCTGTACTCCCCCCACACTATGGCACCACCGCACGTGACGTCACATCTCGGCTCCTACCCCCATTACGCATGACCAGTTTTATAAACTGAAATGAGCACATTGTGTTTTTGATTACACTTTAATTTTACGTTATCTTTTACCAAGGGTGCTTCGATGTTTTCTTTGTTCTACGATTTTCCATTTGTTTTAAAATTAATACTGAGATATTTTTTTTAAATTAATTAATTTGCATTTACCGCATACGGATAAACATACCGATGCGAAATGATTGCGCGAATAATAATATACAAGGACTAGCAGTACTCGCCCGCTTCGCTGGGCATTTAAAATTAACATTATTATTTATTTTCATTATTATTAGGGAGTCCAACACTCATATAAATATTAGCCTATCCATTAAGTACATGTATTTTCTACATGGATACCAAGTTTCAAGTCAATCGGATGCATGGTTCAGTAATTAAAACCCACTATAGTACGTACGTAAAAACCACTATAGATTTATATATTAGTATAGATAACCTTTCATTATCCGTCTAATAATGCCGAACACTCAATACCGAGTGCATGTCCGCGGTATTTGACCTAAATGCACTAGCCACAGATCAATCTCCGCTGCTTACTACATTTCCGCGATCAATGAAAATGACCGCATTCATATCGCACAAGTCTACACATACGTCATCTCAATACAAATACAAATTAAGCTCACTCAATACGATTTGTAGCAAATATTGATTTATAACTTAGATTATATATTTATAACTTTATAATTTTTTTTCAGTTTGCTTTCGATTAGTAGGGACATCACTGGAGACGGCTTGATTATTTTGCCTTTTCCTTTTTGCATATAAAAAGTTTTGAGATTTTATTTACGAAAAGTCTCTGCAAGTATCAAAGCAAAGTATCTAATGCAAGTTTATTTATTGGAAACAAACTTGGACAGGACCTGTATTAGGTAAGCTGTGTGCTTAGTGCGAGTTTTTTAACGTTCTCTATAGCGTAAAAGTTAAGTCAATTTTGTATACAGTTAGAACAATGCTCCTAGCGGCAAACGTAGGCAAACGTTCTAACGCTATACAAATTCGAGTTAACTTTTACGCTATCGAGAACGTTAAAAAATTCGCACTAAGCACACTGAAGCGTAGGTAGGTGAAGGTAGGAAATTTTTTTTAGGAATTGGACTCAAACAATGAAGTTTTTAGATGAATTTGAAGTTATCTTCAAGCGGGTACATAACATACAGCCTTCACTAAAAGAGCAATGTATTGTACATTGTTTATGACAAGGAAGGCATCGTTGCACCTTTATTTTTATTTGTAAACATTTTATTTAAATTCTTTTAATTTAAATTACTAAAAATTTATTATTTACATGCAGTAACGACGTTCCAAGGCTAGTCTTTTTATCAAAACAAATTGTAAATAATAGATACTCATTAAATTAAGTAGAATTATTTATTTAGGATATTATAATATATCAAAGAATAATAAAAATATTGGGTACTGAAAACCGTTTGTATAATATGATGAAGGACTGTTTTTACATTTTCTAATGTTGGTTTTGCAGATAGATGACTATAATTATTTTAATGAAAAAAAAAACCTACTTAAATATGAAACAAATAGTTATCCATAAAACATGTTTTAGCAAAATCGAAAACAATTTATTGAACTAATCATGTACTCTGTACACAACTCTAATGAATTAATAATAATGTACTTCATTGGAAAATGAAAAAAGAATCAAGTGATAGCGTTTTGTTCAGTATTATTGTATGTATAAAATATATTTTAAATTTTAAAAAGCAGAATTGAAAAACGTAAGCCAATTTTTTTAATTCTAAACTTGATGTTTTCTCCAAGCTCTTTCTTTTGCTGTTCTCTACAATTATTTTATGTTAACAGGTATTTATTATACTTAACAATACTTACTATAATGTGAATTTATTTCTTAAACCAGTGTTTTACACCGAAATATTTCACTATAATAAAATACTTTTGGTTATTGATTTATTTCCAGTAACTCCGACAAAAATGTATTGCATTTGAATGAATCAAACATCCTATGAATTCTTTAAATTTATAATTGCTTTGTTATTAGTTCATGATTAAATAAAATCAGTTAATAACGTAACATTAATGAGCGCGAATATATTCAATGAATTCAATGAACCGACTTTATTATTATTTTTACTAATTTTTATTCTATTTAACTTCTAATTTTTTTTTACATTGCTTATGCAAATTTCATTCATTGTATTTCATTATTTTAAGGTAAACATTTATTCAGTATTACAATAATAACTAAACCTCAGTATTAATGAAAGCAATCATAGTGTTTTATAACTTTAATGTGTCTAATGTTAATCCTTTGTTTGTAAGTGAAATAAAGTGAAACCAAATATAAATTTAAATCGATTAAGAAACGGAAATAACTAGTTACTGAATATGCCAAATTTGCCATGCCCAAGAAAAAAGCCGAACATAGAACTATGCCTACATTAAAAACATAAATAACATTATTGACAAAAACTTTGTAATCTTGTTTGCCAATTTTCACGAAATCTGTAAATAATTAGAAAAAGATAATTTTAAAAGTGCAATCGTAATATTTTAATCGTAATAAAAATTAGTTTTAAAACATGTATATCTTGTCTACTTGTTTTAAGATCTGTTTGTTTTTTTGTGATTTTGTCTATGAATATATACCAAAGACTCATAATAGCCTAAAAGCCTGTTATTTGAACATGGTTTCTAAACTTAAAAACCTATTCATTCAGACTAGACACAAAAATATTTTAATAATACGTTTTTGAGTCTTTAATCTAAATATGCTTAGTGCGATGCACATTTTGAGTGAGATTAATGAAGAAAAATATTGAATAGGTATTAATTTATTTGCATGTAATTTATTTAATTTTATTTATTCAAGTTACCAAAGTTTGTGATTAAAATATTTTCAAGTCAACATTATTTACTTTTGTTTGTTTGTTTATTTACAAATATTTTATAGTTCGTCTTTTAATTAAGTAATTTTATTCAACTACATGTTCTATAATAAACATATTTTAGTCGTAGTATACAATTGTATAGATGTTATTGTATTTGAAAATGAATAAAAAGATGAAATGTCTTTTTTTTAACTTTACTTCATAATGACATGCTCTTAAATAAATAATAATAATTAAAAAAAACAGCCAGAAGTGAGTGGGTAAAAAAAACAAGAATTTGAAACCAACACAAACATTTATTGATTCGAAAAACAATAAGGAACTGTGGTTGATTGAAAGATTTGTTGTCGTGTACTTATCTAGGTGTTACATAACATTAAATATACAAACAATAAAATAAAGAAACGAACTTAAGAAGAAACAAAATACACATCGAATAAAATTAAAAGGCAGAAGATTTTCTAATTAATAATACATCATAGATATTACATTGAATTGGTACAAATTGAGCTTTTTTTTTTACGAGGACAGCCTCACAGTAAATACCTTGAAGTATTTATCATCTTAGGCCCCAGGGTTGGCCTTAGCCTGGTCCAATATAGTGCCCTGAGGTATGGAGATGCGACAATTTTCAAAATGAAACCAATCCTGCGTATCAAGATACTATTTATCGTAATTAGATACAAAAACTGAAACTTAAAGGCAATGCAATGCATAATGTAATTAAATTGAAAAAGAAAGAACTAAAATATTAAATAAAAATGTGATCCAAAAACATATAACGATAGTAAAATTAGTGACGGTTAGCGACATCTAAATACCTCATTGAGAAACCTTACTTTATAGTGCCAACGACATCTACCGATCATTATAAGAAACATGTGAGCTGTCAACTGACTGGAATTGTATGTTTTAACAAGCCGTATTCGCCCGCTTCGCTTGACATTTAAAATTAACATTATTATTTATTGTCATTAATATTAAGGAGTCCAACACTCATATAAATATTAGCCTATCCATTAAGTACATGTATTTTCTACATGATACCAAGTCTCAAGTCAATCGGATGCACGGTTCAGTAGTTATAACGGAACATCCGTAAAAACCACTGTAGGTTTTTAAATTAGTATAGATTACACATTGATTCAAGTCTCTAAGATTACATGTTACAGTGCAATTGCTTGCCTCTTAACGCAGATTAATTTAGAACGAAAAGTTGAAATAGGTACACATTCTATTAATATATTACAAACTGTATAACGTAAAAACTGGATTATTATAACAGTAAAAATTGAAGGGTTTCGGTATTAATTTTGCAAACTCGTCGCCAAAGGTTACTTTATATTAAGGTTATATTAAGGTACTGAGATCAGAAATATACAATATTATGTTTTATCATCAAAGAATAAGTGGGCTATATTCATTCACTAAATATTTAATTTTCCCCCAACTTGTAACACTTTTTTATTAGTACCTACTAATAGCATCGACCAGCCGTCGCTGAGTTTCGCTTGTTTGAGAGCATAAAATGTTTAAGGTTAGAATGAATAACAGGCAATCTAAATTGTTTCCTATTAAATTGACCCTTTGAATTTTTACTGTTACAACAGTTACAGTTACAGCAGCGCCATCTATTGATATATCTAAAATATATTACTTTTAATCTGAGTTTTTGAATAATTTCCAGTAAAACGAGATGGAATGTTCGAAAAATAAATGCAAAGTAAAAACTTTTCTTAGATTTTTGGTCGATTAATAAAACCAGTTGGACAAGGATTCCCGACAGGTTTAGGTAGTAATGAATAAATAAGCGCCATCTATTTGTTACATGTAAAATTAAACAATAAATTTTAGGTATTTGCTACGCAGTTAGTTCATTTTATAAGAAACAGAGGGCGCGTCAACACAATTATTCCGAAGCATCTTTCAGAGAATATCTATTCCAATTAAATAAAAAAAATCGTAGACGTATTATGGACTATGTTAATCCGTACACATAAAACATTGCTTTACCTACGAACCGCCTGAACACGCACCAACTAATCCTGGCTAAGCGTTGGGTATAGCCACTTCAGTAAGCCCCTAAAAAAAGAAATTAGGTTAGCGTGGTATGGACATGTGATGCGTAGAGAGAAGATGCATGTGACTAGGAGATGTATGGAAATGGTAGTGCAAGGTAGAGGGGGATGAGGTCGACCAAAGAAGACATGGATGGAGTTTGTGAATGACGATATGAGAAAGAGAGAGGAGTGAGTGTTGAGATGACGGCTGATAGAAGTGAATGGAAGAGAAAAATTAGCTGCGCCGACCCCACCTAGTGGAATAAGGTGAAGAAAAAGAAGAAGAAATAGTGAAGCCCAATAGCTGTTCCCGTGCTTAGCCCAGACCTGCCACTGTGTGATTTCTTTTTTATGCCAAAATTTAAAGGTTCGGTTGCCTTTAAGTTAGGCGATTGAGAGCCGATATGCAATGTATTGGAAATTTTCCCTAAAAGCGGCAATTCTCGTAATATCGACATAATATCACAAAGAAACCACAATGGTCTTTTTTTATTGATTTTGAATTAGAATCGTTTTTTTTTATTAAATAATTTTTAGTTTGCACGCAATGTAACAAGAATTGAAAACGAATCGAAACGGGAAAGCTAGGATCACGGAAAAACGCGAAGGGCAACTTTCAGCTACCAAAATCCACTGAGTTCGTTCACAGTGTTACTTCTAGAGATCATTTCTTCCACATGTAAAATGTTTTTTTTTTATTGCTTAGATGGGTGGACGAGCTCACAGCGCACTTGGTGTTAAGTGGTTACTGGAACCCATAGACATCTACAACGTAAATGCGTCACCCATCTTGAGATATAAGTTCTAAGATCTCAGTATAGTTACAACGGCTGCCCTACCGTTCAAACCGAAACGCATTACTGCTTCACGGCAGAAAAAGGTAGGACGGTGGTACCCACCCGCACGGACTCACAAGAGGTCCTACCACCAGTTATTACGCAAATTATAATTGGAAAGCAATAAATGATTACTATTGTTCAGTCGCTGAACTTAAATCAGTTAATATTTTATGTCATCACTGCTGCCATTATTTTAAGGGTCATTGTAGGCTAACAAGCATACGGGCCACCTAATGGTAAGACGTCACCGTCGATCGTGTACATCAGCAATGCACGCTCATGTTTCATGAGCGATAAGATAAATTCTTCACCAAAAGAAGTTAGAGCGGAATCCTCAGCAATATACAGTCGCTTAATTGGTTGGCATTAGTGAGGCCTGTGAACAACTCATCATTAGTTGAGACGTATGCCGGTTTTCCTCTGAAGGGATTAAAAATTTAAGCAGGGTTTAAAAAGTAAAGTTCAGTGCAGTTCAATAGTAAAAAAGGGATCACGTAGTTAAGTGCAGTAGTCCTAAATTACAAGCTGGAGCAAAACAATTGGGAATACTACTTCTTAAATTCTTTATTATTTTTGTTATTATCACACTACCTACAAACTTCTTAATGAAATAAAAAAAAAGTAATTTAATTTTGTCATTACGAAAAACGTCATTTAGTTCATTCGTATAAATCAAATCTTTGAATTCGATAAGTTTACTTGACTATAATAATTACATTACAATGAGCAGGTTAAGGGCTTTATTTGCCAATGCTTTCCGTGGCAGGAGCTATGTCGGCAAAGCGCAGGAATCATTGAGGCTTCAGAATCGACATCACCACGACGAGGGACCACCTCAACCGTTCGATAATTTGCCTTTTAAATTTACAAATCGGTTAGTAACAAAATAAATAATGTCGTATATGTACCTACTGATTCGTGAATGTATCAACGAAAAATTTTATGAGACGATAAAATATCAAAACATCTAATAGTTTAATAAATTCTTAGACAAAAAATAATAATGAAATAATTAATTGCATTTACTAAATTCCAATAGGTAGCATAGTATTAATTTGATTTTATCGAGACAAAGAATAATAGCTATTTCTCTTTACGCAGATATGTAGCAACATTAGTATTTTCAATCTTCTTCGGAACAGGTTTTTGGGCACCATTTATCATATTGTGGTACTCCATGGCAAAGAAATCGTTGTGAATTCAATATTTATTTGATTTAACTTTCTGAATAAATAAACTGTGTCTTTGAGTACTTAATTGTTTTAGTGAGGTGGTCTCTATGAAGGGAGGAACTGAAATTTCCAGTATCTTTTTATCTTTTTTCTTTGGTTTAAGCGATACGACTATACTTTTGACGATAAAGGCAAACTAATGATGCTGAAACATCAAATCATATTACTTATTGTGTCGTGTCGTTTATACTTGATTGTCATTTTTTATGATTGAAGGATTACTGGTGGCCCGGAGGCCTTTCCAGTTTCACCAGGACAGGGACAGGGACAGGGACTTGATTGTCAAGAATAGTACCATCATCCTACTAATACATCATACAAGTATGTGTATCACAAACGATGTACATTACTTCGATGCGATAAGAACTATTTATACGGAATATTTATAGCATTGTACATCTCTATCACGTTAAACTGTCTAATAAGACTATCAATGTTGATTGATTTATTTTAAGAATGGTCTACATGTAAAAACCGTTCTATGCTGCGTTTCACAAAATATCCGCCAACCTTTGATTACATTTATATTATTTTTTCTATAATTTAATTTATTATTTAGCATTCATTTTAATTTATAAATTTCTGTTAGTGTCAATTTTCGTTAACTTTCAACCAGCGCCCCTGAGAATTCGTATGTAGTAAAAATTAAATTAAATTAAGGATAATGAAAGTTTGTACTTGAATATTTTTACTTTAGTTACCGATAGTCTTTACATATTATAATATGATAATGTAGTTTATGATATCATCTCTCAACGTTTTATGCTCATAATAAAACAGAACAACGTGGGATAAAATGAATCAGTTCCGAATGAGTGAACGATTTTTCGTTGTAGTCCCAAAACTAAAATTGAAGTCTGCGGCGTCATAAATACCTACTTTCTTCCCTTACCTCATCTTTGGTAGCCGAAGGGGCTATTCCAATTTCACGCGGACCGGTAGGTGAGCTCACAGTCCCAACCTGAGATAATTGCTAACACTAGCCCTAGCAAGAGCAGTCCTTCGCTGAATCTGCCTATCGGATCAGAACCCACTGAGAAGATCCGGCGAGAAACTCATTGGGTTGTCTATTAGCTAGTTCGCACGAGGAACTCTTCGTCGTCAACGACGAAGAGCCGTTTTGGGCGAAGGCGACTTTGCTTTGCCCCGTCGCCTGGGTCGAATATGTAGTTAACGGTGACCACGATAAGAGGGTTATCGTGACGCGCCGCTTTAAGTAGCGAGTACCTGATACTTGTCTCCCATGTATTTTAGACAGAGCGTCCGCACAGTGGGCATTGTTTTGGTATAACCCTTACGTTTACGCAGTGTTCTGCGTTTCGATTGCTGTCTCATTCAGTCAGCGACCAATTTACAACGAAATAACGCGCAATCGAAGCACGTGGTGGCAAAACGGGAGAGGTAGAGCTTTCCTCTCGGCACCGTATCGCCACCGCCGAGCCGGGTGTCGGAGGAGGGCGTTCGTACAGCTTCGGCCTCTGTGAGGGGCAGTCTCCTCCCTGTGATGATAACGGGGCGACCTGAAGGGTCGAGGCTGCGTCACACACTACCGTTACTCTAGCGCGATGGCACCAGGAGTATAGGATGGCGCATCGGCGGTTGCGGTCCGCGATACGGTCCATATTCCGTCGTCGCTGTCGTCGCCAAATATACTGTGGAAGACAACCCGGTCGGCGGTGTATCGTGTTCCGAACCGGTAGGCCGGTACTGGCTCGGCGGGGTATCCACCACGCCAGCGGGTTAGTATGTATTATTTAGCTTGCCAATATTTAGGTTCCTCCACCCTGCCAATTTCTGCTGTGAAGCAGTAATGCGTTTCGGTTTGAAGGGTGGGCAGCCGTTGTAACTCTAGTGAGACCTTAGAAGTGATATCTCAAGGTAGGTGGCGGCATTTACGTTGTAGATCGGCAACATGAAGCATATAGCAGGCGAGACATAACACATTACATAGGACAAAAGGGCTTTTATATTCATTTAATGTCTCCAAAACAGTTCTCGAGTCCCCTCGAGAATACGCATCGTATGATGTTTTATAAACACAACCGCCATTTACAGTACACTGACACAAGAACTAGATAACCATCATTTATCAGTGCTTTGTAGCTATCTTCCGAGTAATTCGGACACAAAATTTTGCTGCATCCAATTTACCGCTCAGTCAGCCAGCCGACGGCTATTTGCCTATGTATTTGCCGAGTCGGCCACAGGCTATTTACCTAAGGGAACCGCAGCGTCATTTACGCATAGACACCATTCAGGCACTTGATCACACAAACACATTTACGTAACTACGTTTTGTCCTCTTTATTTAGGTACCTAGTACCTACGTAATTCTAAGTACAGATTTTAGTTACAATCGTTATTATTAAGTCACACTGAAAAAAATGTCGGTAGACAAGTAATCGGCCCACCCGATGCTGAGAGGACAATGTTGTTCATGGACAGATGAGCAATGACCAGAGCACAGCCAAATTCGCTGAGAGCCGCAAAGAACTCCATTCAAACCAACTAATTCAAATTTGTAGAAAAACATCTGAACGTGGCTTTCCATCATAGGGTCCCCAAAGAATTATTGAAAGGAGGAGGGGATGGAGCTAAGCATTCAAGGAAAAGTCAGGCGAAATATTTTGCAGATCCCAGACTCAAAGTGGGCGAAACCTGAACTTGTTAGATTAATGAGAACGCGGCATTGATCCTCCCATACGAGAAAAGACGAAGTCATGCTTGAAGCCTCCGCATCAAATTAAGCGCCTGATAATTGTTATTAATCATATTCTAAGAAGCATTTTACGTACATTTACATACAATATATTAATTGAAACTGTCCCGAGCTCGGGGTCGCTCAGTAGAGCAGGAACTAGGCATCTTGTGCATAAGATGGGAAGATCTAGAACAGACTGCCTAAGACCTATGTAAATGGAAGGTTTTGATTCGAGCTCTACACCCTAGCAGAAGGTAATAGGAAAAAAATAAAAATAAAATGTTAATTGAAACTAATTAAAACCAAATGAAATATTGTCAGGTTAGAAGTATAGATCGCTCACACTTCAGTAGAAAATCTAGAAATTATACAAGTGCATGACTGCAATCTACATGGCCAGAGATTGTACTATCAGGATGGAAGTTACCACTGAACTCTTTACTCGTAAATAGCTGGTATCTGACAAATCATGCTCAAACTAAATTTCATTTAATTATGAATTTAAAACATTAAGGTTTAATCTTTACTATACCCCACAGCTATGAGCACTTTTTTTATTATTATAATTTTTCCTGTCTTATTAAACTATTGTATTATTTAGATTTGTGTTTGAGTTATTAAATTTGGTTCTTACTACATAGTATTACCGTTCATTAGATACACCAACTTTCTTGGTCTAGTGGTGAGATGATATGAGGCCGCTCGAATGAGTCCCAATTGACAGCTATTAATTAGTACAAAACAGTTGGGGAATTCGACCTCTAAAGTGGGTGGCGACATTCACACTGTGAAGTCAATAGGCTTTTGCTACCTACCATTTAAAATAAGACTATATTAGAGCTCTACTGATAAAACAAACATTTTTGTCTATGACTTCACTAAACACAATTTTGGGGTGGATTTCAATGATGTTGATAAGCTTGACTAACATTAAGGCATAAATCAACATGGATTATCTTTTCTGACCATTAGTATTTTATGTTTATTTGTATAACATTAATATAAATTTTCATAAATAATTATGAGTCTGGTGTTATTTTCATCATGGTCTGATGTTTTTAAAGGAATTCAGTGTGCAATTTTATTTAGCTAAAAAAAAATTATAAGAAATTAAAAGAAGAAGAAGAAACTTCAATAAGCATGTCAAATAAAACTCAAATTATTGTACACTAAATTTATTTGCAACAAACCTACATAATTATCATTTATGGCCAGGTTGGTGGATCACCTTCTTTGACTCTGCCTCCAAACAAAGCAGACTTATCACGGAAGCTCGTCATCCTCAAGGTTTCTTGGTCATCCAGAAATTTGCCTATGAAGAACCCTGTCATCGGAACACCAAACCAAATGAAGCGAGGAGTGATGCCGAAGATGGCCATTTTATACTTTGATCTGTTGAGCTTTCCACTTGCGAGTGTGGTTCCAGTCAAGAAAAATAAGCGTAATGCTTATGGTGGGAAAGACTATGCTCACAAGATTCCGACGCAGGAACTGTGACAACGCCATAAACCTGCTCACAAAAAGGGTATTATTTAGATAAATGAAGATGCTTAAAATTGATTTCTAAATTTTTTTTAAAGAGAATACCAGAACAGGCAATAAAGCAAAGCATTTATTAGTGGCATATATGAATAAAGAATTATTGTAGTAAAGAATAGTAAAAAATAATAAGCAAGACAGTAAGTGGTAGCCCATTGATATTATAATACAAATTACTAACTCATTTTCATCATGTTTTAATCAAGGTTTGAAAGTCATTTTAATAACTTCCTAACTAAGAACAAACTAAAATTATCAATTACTTGTGTGCATTTATTTTTTACTGCATAAATACTATGACTATGAAATAGTACTTCTGGCTAGTGTAACTACTCTACTCTTCTTCAAGTGTAACTAGCACAATTACACTGAATATGGATGTTATTTTTTTATTCAACAACAAACTTTAATATTCAGTTTTATAGGGGATTCATCAAAATAATATTTCTGAAAACAAATAAAAACAAAATGTCAAGCATATCTATAGAAATAACTAATGAAATTCAATTTTCACCATTACTTACTACTTTGTTTCCTAAATTATAAAATAGATTTCAATTTTAACACATTATTATCCTTTTACCACTCTATTTGATGATTATCTGTGTAACCTATAAAATGACTCCATTGTAAACTAAGCTCAACAAAACTATTTTTTATAGTTTATTAGCAAATGATGCAACTTCATTTCTATAAAATGTAGGCAATGGGCAGACAATCTTCTGCCCCATTTAGTTCAAAGCAGTTGGTCCAATTGTCATGGTCAAAGTCTGATCAATTGCAAAAAAGGACTACCTTATCCTTCAGACCACAATGAATGACTGCTCTGCAGCAGAAATAGAACATGACTTCATTCATTATGGGCTCACAACATATCCACCAGCTCATAACAATGTTATTAACTTTTAGCATGCTAATTTGATATGGCTACAGACTAATATAACTATGTCAAATGCAACATTCCAACTCATTTTCCATGGGTTCTCAAAGTACTGGAAATAAATTGATACTGTTATGCCTAAAGATTCAACTGCAAATCCAATTTAAAACAAATTCATATGAATGTTTATACAAGAAAGTATTTTTGGACATATTAACTAATTGAGTAGATTTTAGAGATCCTATCAAGTTTCTAAAAATGGTTTATTATTATGAAATGATTATTTGATTAACATAATTCATTAGTAACATAGTATTCTACAAAAATAATTTGGTTATTTGACATTCATTTTTATTAGGGTACTTTTTTCTCATTAAAATAAAATATTGAATATTTATTATTATTTAATTTAATAATTAGTGTGTATTTGCGACTGTTTTTACAGAAGCAATGGTAAAACTTACCAGTATCTAATTAATTCACTTTTGTTACTTTACAACACTTTCATGATGAAGCTAATGATATTAAGAAATTTTATAATGGCTTCTATCCCGTTAATAGAATAGCAAGTAATCATGGGAATGCACAGCAAATTCAGACAAATGATGTATGAATGTAAAATCAAAAAGTCAATTTTCAAGAGTGCAACTTCATCTGCTTAAAATGACGTATTATTTTGCATTATTTAGCTTTAGATTACTTGTTTCAAAGATAAAATGTAGTTAACGATTTATTTTGGTTTCGTATTTTTAAGTAGTATTAGGGAGCAAAGCATGTTATATACATTTTGTACAAATAAACCACGTAGAATGTTCCCAAGGAAATAGACATACTGTTAGTAATAGACCATTATTTATGAAATATTTTCGTAACCCCCATCAGTTAGTTCTGGCCTTAAACGAATTGATTCTCGGATCTCAATGGCGTCTACATAAAAATCAGCTGGCAAGGGTCAAATCTCAGTAGACTATTTGAGATGATTGAGAATTTTTCAAGCATTCCGCCATTGTTACATAATGAACGCAGTAAATTTGTATTTCTAACAGTGATGAATTTTCAAGTCACCAAATTTAATAAAAACTATTAATTAATGGTAAAATATTTAAACATTGAAATGGTAAAACATTGGAAACACACGAAACATTGCAAGTTGAATTATCCAGTGTCGTTGATGGCGAAATATTTGAAAACTCAAATTTATTGGAATGCCATACCTGTTTGAGATGATGGAAGCGAATGCTGATAGGCAATATTTAATCAACTGAATACTAACCGGTATATACTAACCGAGGTATTTATTTAAAATCACGAATGACGAAAAATCGATAGGTAACCGAGCAATAGTGTAAAACATAGATTATACACTTTAATATAGTATAAAATAAAAACACTATTACTCTTTGATCCACTTTGAACTTTATTTGTTCACTGCATAGGCAGAGGGAATATAGCCCATATGACCAACTATTTACTAAAAAAACATTTAATTTATCATATTAATAATAATATATTGAAACCATATTTAATATCATTTAATAGAATAAAACAAATAAATATTTTTTAAAATTAAAAAAGATATGTAGCGGAAAGTGATGAAGTTTTGGATATTGCAACCATTGAAATGAAATTCTACAAGACTGAAACACTTCACATCTCATAGTCTAATCTAATGGTCCAGTGAAGCAATAAATATAAAACATTACTGTATGCCATTAGCTTTATGTTCTTAAGACATATTATGTACTAATTATAGATATAGCACTACTTATACTTGGACTGGTAAATGTACTGAGAGCCCCAAATACTCTTTTTGGCCAACCAACAGCCTTGGCTAGGAAGGTTAATTACCTGGAAGGTACCTTGGATGCATCGATGACATTTTGCCCGGTCATAAAATCAGTCCGCGACCGCACCGCGTTTATTCGCGCGTGTTAACCTGTAAGCGGAGTAAAATACCTTTCGGAACAAGGTGAAACTTTACAAAACTTGCATAAGGCCCATCATAACTTAAGCGCCTTATTCACGATCTATCTTGCTGTACGTCCCGCCAAGGCCATGCACGATGCACGATGCAAAAGGATCATGAATAGGCTTGACGTACGTCGATAATTATTATTAATTGTTTGCTGGATTTGCACGACCGATTTTGCGTCCAGCGAGTGCCCCCACCACCGCGAGCGTCGTGCAGATAGACAGTGAATAACGCTGACGTACGTCAGAGCGGTCCTGCGTCGTGCGTGCTTGATCATGTAGGTATAGACTTGCTGTACAGCAGATTTAACATTTAGAGCTAGTTTCGAGAGGAGACTGCACGTCAAAATGGATCGTGAAACACTTTCAAGATTTATTAAAAGATATAAGTTCCACATGTTTGTGGAATGTCTCAAGCGCAGACTATATGAATAAACAAAAAATAATAAACTTATTACAATTTTTTAGGCCCATTTTAGGGGAAGCTGCAAGGATTGATAGCGTGCGTAAAAAATGATACTAATTATTTGAGTATACTCTGCACGTTTAAAAAAATCATCCAAAACCTCTTGCTATTTTTTGCCTCTCTTCTGCTGCTGCTGACAACATCAGAAGGACTCCCATTTTTGGCGTTTTGATAACAGCTGGCATTTTAAATAAATTAAAACCCTCTCATTTAATTCGTTCGATTTATTCTGTTCGCGCTTGATACATCAAGCACCGCGGCCTTGAGCTGACGTACAGCCGTGATGGATCGTGAATAAAGCGCTAAATGCATCGTGCATCGTGCATGGCCTTGGCGGGACGTACAGCAAGATGGATCGTGAATAAGGCGCTTTACGCGAGTGTTGGGTTCGATCACGCGGCTCGTACATATAGAGACACCCTCCAAACCCTACAATCCGGCTTTTACAGGTTAGCCATGTTCCTCCATGGTTCGTAAGAAACGACGTCCCACACGATCACCTGGGTTGCGATTCTGATCCAGTAGTAGATCCTTAGGTTGTGTTTTATTAAAATAAAATAAAATTTATCAACTATACACTTTAGTACTATCAAAGCCTAACTATAATTTGTCGAGTAAATTTCTATATTTGTATGCAACGTAGAACTCTAGATTTAGAAATCGTGTAGCTTATAACTAAAATACTAAAACTTTACATGTAGGTATGTGGCGTTTATGAACGCACATTTTTATGATGCGTAAGCCGGAACGCACGACAGGTGGGAAAAAGAATTTAGTCTATGACACGGGACCTTTTTTACCGCCAAATATTTAAAACGTTAAAATAATTTATAATGTGTTTAATAACTAACGTAATATAATTACTTAGAATTGTTTATGCCGCTACAACAATTAAATGTATATTGTTTCAACTGTGGTGTTAATTATATAAAACACGACTTTACGGCGAAATAAAGCAGGGACTCTATATGAGCTCCCTCATTGGTGACCCCGACGTGATCGATCGTTAGAAATAGAGATCGAGTACAAACCATATACACCTGGCGCAGCATCCATATAAGGTCGAGTTCAAACTATATACACCTGGCGCGGCATTCAGGCAAGATCGACTTCAAACCATATGCACTTGGCGCAGCATCGCCGCGCAAAGCAGAGTGATCAAGTACAAGCGGTTAAACACCTGGTGCGGCATTCCGCAACACGGAACTTATTTTCTTTTTTTTTTTGTATTTTCTGATTAACTCAGTGAAGTGTTTTATATATTTTTGGAGTTTACTCCTTTAGAATCGATTTACATATATAGGCCCGGGGTATGAAAATTATGGGGACCAAAATCGTACTAGCATGTCACACGAAATGCGTTATGCGCCTGATTGCGCATGTCACACGAAATGCGTTATCGCAGGTGACGCCGGGCTGCTGCGCCGGCAGTCCGCCACAAAGCCTCGTACTGATCGCGCGTTTCTCTCATTATTGTATTTTCATATATTTGTTAGTCGTTTGTTTTGTGTCTCGTTAATTTGTTAATAATCTGTAGTGTATCGTGTTGTCGTAATATAGAACTATTTCTCGTATTGTTTCGTTTAATTTT